CCATCCTCAATATGACATTCCTTCAAATATTTAAACATGGCTTTCATATCACTTCTTAACCTTCTCTTTCCCAGTGGTTCAGTGAATCTACTTTACATTTTAGTCTCAATTTTAAGGAACTTCTCCACAAGGCTGAGCTTACTTTGGTTACAGAGCCCTTTGAAGGATGGACTAAGACCCAGAGAGGACCCACTGTGTTCATGACTTATGGTTCAATTGCTTTTCACAGTTCCTTCCCTTTGACACTACATAGTTATAATACTATGATTCCACTGACAGTCATGGTTCCATACTACAAAATTCTGGGATTTGCAAGTTAGGAAATTACAGTTAGAATGCTCAACCAGAGTTCAAGTCCCTCACTAAGCTACAGATCCCGGATACCATAGGATGGAACCATGACAGCTAAAATGGAATGATACTACTATAATTGTGTAGTATGAAAGGGCCCTTGGATCTTGGTTAGAAAGGAATATATCTCCAGAATGATTTATTAGAGACCTTCCCAAAAGGCTGTCAGAAGTTATGCAGGAATAATTTATCTTTAGGTGGAAACACTGAGGAAACAGAACCCATTTCAAGAGGCAAGATGATCACACCATTGCTATTTTTTTTCTGGACTGCTATCACCAGATTTAAGTGATATTTCAAGATTTCCCTTCAAAATCTATACAAATTGCTGAAATGAAAAGCATCCATTAAATCCAGTCAAAATGCAGGAAAGCAATCTAAATGTTTTTTTTTAAAAAATAAAAAAGCTAGTTGCTCATAGCTGGGTGAACAGAGGCTGAGTTTGCATATCCTCTCAAATATCAGACTTTGCACTGTTTTCAAATTACTTATTTAAACTGAAGGGGGTTCAGAAGGAATCCCAAGACTTAATAAGGGAGGAGAGGATTGTCTTTGAAATCGGAACAATCAGTATATTTGTGCAAAGAAAACAAAATGGAAATTCTCAGCAAATGTAAATTGAACATACCAAAAATCTTCAGTGTGTTTCTAATACACCAGCCTGATAATTGCAGAGGAGGAGTTAATCCTTATGCAAAGACTGCCAGCTAAATGCAAACAAGGCCAGCAGGCTCCATAGATTTTGCTGAATAAGTGCTGGCTGGCAAGTTGGAATTGTTTAGAAGCAGGGCTTTTAATTAAGGGATATAAAAGGCAATCTTATAGATCTTTACTCAGAGGTAAGCCCCTTCTCCCATAAAAGTCAGTGTGTCATAGTGGTTTGAGTGTTGGACTACAACTCTGGAGATCTGGGTTCAATTCCTATCTTGGCCATGAAATTCATTGGGTGACCTTGGGCAAGTCATACTCTCTCAGCCTCAGCAGAAGGCAATGGCAATGGCTCCTCTGAACCAATATTGCCGAGAAAACCCCATGATAGGTTCTCCTTAGTGTCTCCAGGAATTGGAAATGACTTGGAGACACACAACAACAAGCAACAACAAAGTCCTCCCTAAGTCCAGTGAAATTTGCTCCATAGCAGGGCTTGAAAATTTGCATTTAAGAACAATAACTGGAATCCTATATGACCTGCTATGTTATATAACTTTACATATCCCTAGCTACATAGCAGAGGTACTAAGAAACCCCTTTACTGAATTATGAAGGTGTATAACAGGAACCACAAAAGCGCCTCATGTGCAATGAGAATGATGTGAATTGGAAACCAATGTGCATTGTACAGTGATGCACATCATACACTGATGTATATCAAGTCCTTCGCCAACTCTGCTATGTAGTAATGTAACAGCAACCCTCTACTGGATATGGATGTTACACAATTATATAGCTCTAATTTCTGCACATGTAAGTCCACTAATAATAATAATAATAATAATTTTTATTTATACTCTGCCTTTTGCCGTAGCAGTCAAGGCGGCTTACATCTTATGAAGTAGGACTTCGACAAGCTTCTAGCAAATGACTGTTACTGTGCTGAAGCCATTCATAAATGATGGTACAACAACAATAATCCTTCTTTAAAAAGGGATAAATATCCTAAAGGCACCAGATCATGTCTGGTCTTGGAAGCCCTGGTTAATATTTGGATGAGAGGCCACCAATGAAAACCAGGTGCTGTAGGCTATATTTCAGAGGAAGGAACTGGCAAAACTACGTCTGAGTATTCCTTGCCAAAGAAATTCATGGAGTCACCATAGGCCAATAGGTGACTTGATTCCAGTTTAACTAGCAATTTCTACATAGCACATATGGGGCCCCTACTCACACTCCTCTTGGTAGGAATGTTCTGCAAATACAGACACCTTGGCAACTCTTTAGGTAACTGTTGGGAACAATGTTCTTTTAAGATGTTATAAAATAGTTTGTATGGCTGGAAATGATAAGTAACACCAGGTGGGGACCCTTAGCTATCTCCACTGTATATAAGTGCTCTGAGACTCAGGGCACATGTGGGCTGAAGAGTGTGGGTTGTTGAGGAGAGTGGATTGGTGTGTTGGTTGGAGAAAGTGGGTTTTTGTATAGCAGACAGTAAATGTTGGTGAGAGTTGAAGGAGAGTTTGTAAATACCTTGTATATATTAAAGGTAAAGGTATTCCCTGCTGACAAAGTTGTCAAGTTGTGTCTGACCATAGGGGGTGGTGCTCATCTCCATTACTAAGCTGAAGAGCCAGCGTTGTCAGAGACTACTCTGTGATCTTGTGGCCAGCATGATTACACAGAACACTGTTTACCTTCCTACTAGAAGTGGTACCTATTTTATCTACTTGCATTTGCATGCTTTCAAACTGCTAGGTTGGGAGAAGCTGGGACTAGTGATGGGAGCTCACCTCATCATGTGGCACCCGGGCCTCGAACTGCCAACCTGCCAATCAACAGTCAGCATCTTAACCGCTTGAACCACTGCATCCCATATGTTGCACCCATATATTGCAACAAGAGATAAAAGAGCCTCCAAGGACTTCGGAAGAATCCAACTGTGTCTGTGAATCATTCAAGGTTGGTCAGTGCAATATTGCCAAATACTGCAAACTGAGCTGGTGCTTCTGCACTCTGCTGTTAATAGCTGTTGGGGACTGTTCCCTCAGACAGTGCTGAAAATTGGCATCTCTGTTGGGCCAAGGTTTTTGTTTTTGTCACTGCACATCAGCAGGTTATAGAAGGGAGCCAACAGTAATAATGATGCAGAATGCCTATGCTGTAGGTCTAGTTTTGTGGAAATTCTGTAACAAAAATTGACTCTGGGAGAATAAAACGTTCCATCCTGGTGCATGGATGTTAAGTAAACACATGAACTGGGAGCAGGGTCCATGCCCAGTAGCTGTACTTGATATTACAGATGTTTGATATCCCTTATGCACACAGATCTCTGCAGGAAAGGGTCTCTGCGCATACAGCTGGTCTTAAGATGTATGTTCAGATCAATGTTAAAGTTGGAAACACCCAGGTTACTTTCCGTCTACTTGTATTAGGACCTTATCACACGCAGGCCACAAAGCGATAAGAAACCAAAATA